CTCGATGATCTTAGAGGTCTTTTCCAACCTTAATGATTCTATGATGCTATGATTCTATGATAATAGAACATAATGGAACATAATAGAAATAATATAATATAATATAATATAATAATTTATTCTGGTCCCATAGGGACAAAAACTGTAGTTTGTATGCTGCCTTTATATAATTGAAGTTCAGGAGAGATCACCATTTACATCAGCCTGTTCCACAAGGAATTCAGTCCCAGAAAAAGCATACCAGAACTTCTCCCCATGTACTGCTTATAGCATAAGCAGTCATTGCACAGTGTAACTCACCTATTAGAAAGTTAGATTTAGATGTAGATTGTCCATACTGCTGTTCCATGTACTTTGGTTTGTAAGTCAAGAAACCAATAAAGCTACTGAACTGTAACAGTGAGCAACACAGAAATGTAAAGTACATTCGATTACTCAATACTTTTTTCAGGGAGGTACAGAAATCTGAAAGAAAGGGATATATGAGTTGGCTTTGAAAGATGCATGGCATAATTACTGCTGAGTAATCTATGAAACTTAGGGCAAAATCCTTCTCTCAGCTGTCCAAGTGCTGGTCATACTGATCTTTATTTGCATGCGAGTATCTGAAAGCAAAATCAGGTTCTTGAAAAACACCAGAGGTTGAGATACAGGAAGAGAATCCTAAAAGAAGACAGAAGTATGGGTTAAGGCCTGGGTGCTCTAGTGAGATCTGCACATGAAGACTGAAGGGCTCCACACAGCAAAGACTTCTTTCAGCTTACAGGTTCAAGGCTATTTGAGAGATGCCTTTGTGAGATGCCCAATGTCTTCCATTGGGATCTGAAAAAAGACAGGAGAACTTGACTAATGATTCAAAGCCATCTCTTCCCCACACCTTTCCACCCCTTTCTTAGCCTAACCACTGCACAACCAGAGCTGATATTCAAGCCTGCTGTATTTTCCTCAGGCAGCAACGTGCTTCAGAGTCTCCATGAGCTCTGTGATCATCAGATAAATAATTTGGTTTACCATATTGAGAAAGGAACCTTCTAATATTTTCTTTATGTCTTGATACAGAAACAATTTTTCCACTGTTCAAATTTCTTCTAGCACAAAATTTTAGACGTAGGTGCCACTCAGGCAATGATGCATTGCAGGTGACGCATGAAGAATCTCACAGTCTTGAAGAAGCTCTTTGACTTCTAATAATCATTAGCAGAATACTCCTTTCCTGGGGATACCTAACTGGTTTAGACTGAAGTGCAGGGGAGGCAAAATATTCTGCAGAACTATTACATTCCTGCTGTACATTGTGCTTATTGCTTTTCACATTTAAAAAACTTGCAAAACACTTGCCTTTCAGTACTACTGAGCACTTCCTCGGTTTAGGTTTTGCAGGAGGAAGTATCTTCCTCGTGGCACCCATGTTTTCCAGGAGACGATATGAAGTTTTTTCATTATTGGCTTCCTCTGGCTTTTTCAGGCTCTTCGGCAGGAAGCAAAATGGAATAGCAGCTAGAAAACTGGTTACTCCACTTATTAAAAAACCAAGCCACCATGCACCCACCCAGCGGGAATCGCGTGGGGTGATAGTGATGCTTCCTAGAATTGAGGGAAACAGATACAAGTTACCTAAATGAACAAGTTGAACCTTCCCACCCTTTATCTGCTAAAACAGCTACATTTTACAATGTCTGACTTTCAGTGGTAATGATAATCATCTAATGTGAGACCGTTCATGCAGTGAAGGCATCAGGAATCATACCCTGAATGGTGTTATGTTTCATTTGCCTTTCTACATGATATGCTGACTGCAACTTCATGTGGCATACATGGCAACACAGAGGTCTTTAGTCAACACATAGGAAATCAAAATGGGTGGCAGACAGACCTCAAGCATGGGGTCCTTTTAGGCCTGATACATTTCTACTGAGACCATCCTCTGCAAAACTGAATTGTGTTGGCTACTATTAAACATATGGACATTCTCTGTGGCATTGATGAGATTAGCCACGACTTTAAACTTTGTATTGCAAGGAAGATGAGAGTAGTTGGTTGTATTTTTATGATTGTTACATGCTGGCATGTTTGGTGGTGGACCAACGCTATAAGACTTTTCACTGCGTGACCAGAATTGGCTCACTGTCCTTATGCTTAAGCAAAATCAAACACTGGCTTAACAAAGGGCAAAGACAAAATAGTTCATCTACCTACAGGATCCTGAAGATCTGAAAACTTCTCTGTCCTGCTAGTAAAACAGGATCACCCACTGCTGCTGCTACACTGGGCCTTTTCCTGAAAAAGCCGTCACCAGTCCGCACTGCCTGACTTCCCATCAGGCTGGTCCAGTGGGTGGGGAGGTGGGCTGGCCAGAAAACACCACCTCAGAGATGGCTCCTGCCTCTTCCAGTGAAAGGGAACAGGATGCAGGGCCATGGCCACCACTTATGGGGATTGCTCTGCTCCCTCTGGCATTTTGCAGATGTGATTACATACATGTGTTTTCTCTTCACCTGAATAAGCAAGGGCTGGCAAAAAGTGTATAATGTATTGCAAACATTCCATGAATTGTAAATAATGTAAAATGCTCAGCTGAAAGGGCGGATAATCCACCAAAACTGTAAAACTGCTATGCTAGCAGAATCCTTTCATTAAGATCCCAGTTTAGTAAAACATCTTGGGTCTGTGAGAGTTCTTGGTACTAATTTTTAAAGTTAAACATGTATTTTAATCCTTTAATCCTAAAACACAATTCAAAAATATGTTCCCTGTCTAATTCTGCCTCTACCCTAAAAGCTTCCAGTAATTTAATAAAATTATAATAAAGTATATAAAAATTAATGAAATAAATAGAAATTAAAGATAAATAATACTAATATAATTAAGATAATACAAACTTATGCAAATGTGTAAAGGAACCTCTTACCAACAGATATTAGCTTACTTTCACTTTACCTCCATTTTGCTTACCTAAATCCACAAATCCAATATCCACGTACAGTTTTGCACATAAAGATCCCAACAGGAAACCAAACATTGGGCCCAACATGGCTATTGTGTGCAAACATGCTGAAAATATAATGAAGCAAATGCTAGTACATTTTAATGGCTGAATGTTTTCTTCTGCAAAAGATGATCAACCTCTTACACTATGAATCTCTCAGTTTACTTCATGTTGAGTTTACCTACATACACAGGAACATCCTCTTCTTTAGCAAAATCATCAAGGTAAGAAATGCCCAATGGTGTTATCGGTGTCTCACCAATTCCACGTAACAGGTTTCCCAGTAAGATATATATCCACATATGTGATGACGGTTCTTTCTCACAGCCTGCAGATAATGAGAGTTTACATCTTTGTAATAGAATAGTTGAATGGGAAACAATGACAAATCACAGGAAATTCAGCACATGAAATGATTATAGTTTAGTATTAAAAGTATTAACAACATTATCCTTATGGAAGATTAATGAAAGGCTGTCAACCTCATTATACCTTTTAATAATCTTCTAATAACACTTTCCTCCACCTCCCTTGTATCCGGTTTCTAGAAATACAGATAATTATCACCCATCAGAATAAATGCCCATGTAAAAAAAAATGGCAGACTGATATTGTCATAAATATATTATCTGGCATATAACTTATATCTTTAACTTGAGAAGTTTGAGATGGTTTCTGGGGCACAGCTTGGCTCTTTCTCTACCTATGTCCCATGCAAAGAAACATGTAAAACAGCTTTATTCCATATAGTAAGCAAAATCATAGAAATCTCCATTTATTTCCAGTTAACTCTGTGCAGTTTCATGTCCTTTCATGCTATCTCTTCCACCTCCCCAGCTTCAGGTCCTGGGTAATTGAATCCCTTCAGAAACTTCTTCGCACACAGTCTCAGCATCCACTTCAGCGTTAGGGTGATTTTACTGTAATTTGGAAGTGTGAACATAGGAAACTGGGGATCTGGATCCTAGTAATTTGTGTTTGCTAGATGTTTCTTCTCCAAATGAAATGCACAAAGTGCATTTAAGTGTTGGTAATGTTCCCAGACAGGTGGAGACTGAAGTTAGAAATCTAACTGAGCATCTTGCATGGGGCAATGATTTACTCTACTTGCAACCAAGGATAAAACTAGCTCCTCTATTTGTACTTACACTTACAGTTCCTTACCTGATTGGGAGATTTCCAACAAGGTTTCGTTCACATGTTGATGTAGGGAACAGGGATTTATGCTTGAACTTAAGTTGGCTGAAGAAGCTGTATGTGATGCTGTCTCATACTTATAACTGAAAACACACAATAGTAGGTTTAGAAGCAGTGTTCACTTGGGAAATACTAGTGTAGTAGGGCAGGAATCACTTGACTGCTGTTTCCCTAAAGAGAAAGGTATCTTTGTTTAAATATCAATCCAAAAATCAAATCCTACTAAAGGAGCAAAAAAGAAGATTATTTAAACACATGTTGGAAATCGATAACACTAAAATGAAGAACAAATAAAAGTTAGAATAATCTGTCTAGAAGACATAACATTCTAAGCTGTAAAATTCAAAAGGGCTTTTGAAAGTAATTCAGGTAGGACTGAACTGTCAGTATCAAAATTTAGGGTCAGGTCCAAGCGAGCTCCCTATGCTGACCCCACAATCATGGAGAAAAAGAAGAATGTCTTGAGTGTGAGTGTGAGTCCCCCTTTTCATCGTAGATATGAATTTTGGGGTTGGGGGGAGGAGAGGAGTGAGAAAAGGAGAAGTCATCCTCAGGAGGTACCTGTTTGTCTGATAATTGGCATTGGCTTTAGAAAGAGCTGTTGTATAGCAGCGGGTGAATAAAGTTAGTGGCTAAAAGACTCTTTAGCTGTATTTACAGGGAGCAGAGCAATGCTGCGGGGTGGCAGCTGAGCAGCTCAGGTGCTGGAAGCCGTTCAGCTGCTTTAGCATGATCCTTTTCTCAGATATGAGCCCTGCCGAGGTGCAAAGTACAATTAGCTTAAGCAGAACAACATGGTAAAGCACACATTCTGCTTCTTGGAACTGTGCTGGCTCTGTTAGACCAGGCAGGCTTCTTTTTCAGGTTGAAACAAAAAGCATTCATCAGAAGAGACAGTGCAGAACAGTTTTACCATAAAAATTCAGGCACAGGTACATGAGAAACTGTATGAGTTTCCCAGTGTAGATGAGCAAGATACATAGTTTGGATTAAGCAGTGGAAAATGCAAGTCTGATGCTAGTGCAAGATCCACTGTCATGATAAAAAAAGTATTCCTTAGTTTTCTTTTTACAGTAGTATACTTAAAATTATTCTAATACATTTAAGAGAGCAACGGAAATGTGTCTTAGTCTATGCTATCACTGTATCAAAGATATGGCTAGAAACATTAGAATCATAGAATCGTTTAGGTTGGAAAAGACCTTTATCATCATCAAGTCCAACCGTTAACATAGCACTGGCAAGTCCACCACTAAACCATGTCCCTAAGTACCACATCTACAGGTCTTTATTATCGCATGTAAGCAACATGCAGTAAAGCTCTGAGCCTGGAGCATATGAATAAAAATTAACTTAACCAGCCACGGAAAATCAGTTTAACCAGCCATGTGCATTTGGAACAGGAAAAACCCTGGTACCAGTTCTACCAGCACTGATCCATCTGCAGGCTCTGCGTGAAGTTGAGAGGCTGCTTTGTGTGAGGAGCAGCTGTTTGCCACAGGAGAGCAAAATGCGCCATCTTACACAACAAGGCTCTGGTTTCCTCTTTCAAGGAGTGGGATTTCTTCTAATGAGCACCTCTGTAGGTTGGTTTCTTCAAGGAGTGAGCTCTGAATCCCTGATTTTACACAAAAGTTACCTGTTACTATAAATAAAGTCATATTTCAGATAGATATGTCACTCAATATGAAGTTACCCGCTCAGAGTTTTGAGGTCCTGTTCAAAACAGCACAAACTTACTCTGGAAATCATATAGGTGGATTCTATACCCCTCATCATTTTACTGTGATTCATAGCGGTTTGACTTTCCTGCTTACATGATCCTGACATCTCTATTAGCAAGCAATGATTAGGTTAACGCTGATCTTCCCAGTAAGGTGTTCTTACAGTTAGCCATTCAGGAAGAGTATATAATTCATTAAAGCAATAGCACCAGCATAGTAGCATGGTTGAAGATTTTCAAAGAACAATATATTTTGTTTGAAACTTGAATTTTCATAAGTTTTTCATAGGTAAGTGTTTTCTCCTGAAAAAAAAAAATCTAATGATTTTGTAAAATAATTTCCTTCTCTGCCTCTTTTCTGAACAAGTCTGAAATCTAGCATTTTGATATTTTCTTTTTTTTTTTGGGCAGTTGAACTTTTACTTCAGAAGAACCATATTTTTCCAAGCAGATAAAATGAACATTGATGTGTGTGTCAAACGTGATTCATTGCACATCGAGGTGAGGCTCTATAGGCCTTTGGAATTCTAAGACTTAATATACACCAAGTTTCATTCAAAAACCAGAAAGCAGTATCCAATTCCAACGTTAGGTTACCCAAATTAATCTTGATTGGTACTTACTATCCCATGAAGAAATGAGGCATTGCTGTTAAAAGACTTCCCAAAGCCATAGTAAAGCATCCAACAGCTATTACTTTGGGCCTATGAAGTTTAGCTCCGAAGTAGCTTACAAATGCAATCACAAGCAAGTTACCTGGAAGGTAATGAACCAAAATTAATGCCAAATGCTGTACCTCATATTTCTCTGAACAGTTTTCTGCATGGTATGGAACATAAATTACCCATCTCAAAGCTCCCATCGATAAAACCAACAGTAGAGGACGTCAGGTCAAACCTTCGTTCAATCTGAGTGATGGAGCTTTTCATAATTGTACCAGACAACGTTTTACTCAAGTAGCTGAATGATAAAGCAGCGAGAAACGCCTGAGGAAAGATTAAGACAGAAAATGGGAGGTAGAGGCAGGGAAACTGGTCACAGAGGGATCAAATATGTTTAAAACTGTGTGAAGCAATCATCATCGTGGTATACGTTTGTTACTCAAATTGCAGTGACAACGTTGTGCGTGAATTTTCATGTACCCTAATGCTACGGAGCACCAGGGTGGTCTCTCAGCAATGTCTGCTCCTGCTCTGGTTTTCCCTGCTGGAGAGGGCTGGTGCTAGGTGCTGCACTGAGAACAGCTCCTTGCGTTAGGGTTCAGGTTTCAATAGCCACCTTAATGACCAGAAAGCCTGATCTTCCCTGCATTGCTGGCCAGAGGTTTTCCAAAACAGAAATCCTATGGACTGTGGAACTTAAATTTGGCAAACAACTCACTGGGGACTACTTACCTTACTGATATCCTGAGGTTAAATTTATCAAAAAGCTGAGGCCCAGGGCTGGGCATCCAAAATGGTGGGATTTCTAAATTTCTAGGTGTTGCAGAAATGTAAAATTTGCCAGAGGTAAAATACCTCATCAAGATAGATTTAGTGATACTAGCCCAACCTAAAATTAAACTTAGCCCCAATTATCTTCTGCTTGGGCCACATCACTTATTTTAGGCCAGTTTACAACTGGTTGTAACTCAAACATATAGTCATGGCATCAAAATAAAGGCTTTATGCAAGCTCCTATGATATCCCAGTATGTGTAAGGTGGTACAAACTGACTGAGTTAATCTCTGTCTCAAATGATATGTTTTGAAATGTGTGGATTATGGCTATGTTGCCTGTATACCATATACCTCATAAGGGAAAGCTTAATATTCTTTAATTTTATAGTTGCTTCTACAAACATCCATTGTGGTTTTTGCAAATAAAGATTAATTTGATAAAAAATTAAACTAAGTTTGTTTAAATATTATCCAACTATTTCAACATAGTCTAAAAAACAAATAGACTTATTGCTCACTGGGTAAAAGTCCCGATACAACACAATGCTGGGTAAGTAAACCAAAGTAAGTATAGATTTAGACTTTGCAATACTAACTACTGTAAGAAATGAAGCCAATCCTGGAAGTAAAAGCTTGAAATTAGGTATGTTTGCACTCTTTTTGTCAGGAATGAAGTGAAAAATCTCACAAGTGCAGGCTTTGTCCTGACATGTTTTATTTTTCCTGACCTCGACTGGCAAAAAGCCTGTGAGAACCACCTCTCTTGTCTTTTGCCAGCAGTGCTCTCAGGGGTTTTGGCTGAAATCACAAACTGCTGATAAGCATGAAAACACAAACAAAAATTACTTGTGTATTTTGGGTTTGAAAATGCGATCCCCAGGTAAACCACAAAACATCTGATGGGAAGGTGAGGGAGAATAACAGTTTGTCTTTTATTACCTCCAAGGTACTGTGTCTATTAAACTAATTACCATAAAGTTAGGCATAGATCCACAGTCGTGCAGCATTGCTCACATACATGATGGCAAAGTTAGTCCTGTGAGTATCCCAGAGAGATCAGATTCTACTTTTGCAGATGTATATGGATGGCAAATGTGAGTCAGATAAAAAAAAAAATATAACAACTTTTGCCTGATACTTGAGCCAAACTATTCTGGATGGTTGAGAAGCTTGCAATTACTTGCAATTACTTATTTTTTTACATTAATCTTTCATTTTACAGACCTCTCTGTAGAGAGAAATGTGTCCCTGATTGCAACTCCACTGAGCCTATGGAATTTAACCTGAGATGAAGCTGGCTGAAGAAGTAGTCAAAACATAAATCTAAACACATCACTGTCAAAAGAAATCTTGCCCTTGTAGTATTGCAGCTCAGCCAGAAGCAATAAATACTAAGGCTTTAACACAAAAGCAAAATTCTCATTAGTTTACTTGCTTTGTTCCGTCAATTCTTCTTGTGTGCTCCTGAAAGCTTGGATGCTTGTGGGAATCAGTGGACTTTTTGACCTACAGCCCTGAATTAGATAAAAGTCCTGGAATATGATTTACCTCACCCTGTTTTGGCCTTACAAGAATGGGTGGTGATACCAACCTCCAGACAACAGTATAACATAGCCACCCATTTTAGGATGCTTCAAGTCTTCCACTGGAGGTTGCTACCTCTCTCCAATGACCAAAAAGGGGATCTACCTATGAGTAACTTGAGAGTAAATATGTTAAATCAGGAATTTTTATTTTCTTTAGGACAAAGACAAGATCCAACCCTTCCCTGTACCTCCAGTGTGTATCCATTACAGAACAGGAATGAAGTAATCTGTCATGTCGTATCTTGAACAACAATTCTTAACATATGACAACAGTAATTTGTGGTGGTATTGATAAGGCACCAAACCTTCAAGCCAGTGCAACAGGAAGTCTTCTTTTTGACTGGTAGATTTTTGTTTGCTTCATCATCCAAAAGCTGGGCAGGTTCTGCTTCCTGATTTGAGTCGTCGACATTGCTGGATTCGGTTTCCACTGTCATGGTTGATTTCTTTACTGAGTGATCTGGACCCAAGAGAAAAACAATAATAAGTATAAAAGCACATATGCCAAAATAGAGTTGCTTAAGGACCTTTCTGATGAAACAGTAGTTACAGGAAAATGTTAGGATGTTGAAGCTGAACCTTTTCATGGGAAAGGATTTGGCTTAATGACTTGGGTGTTTCAAAGTGAGTATTTGTTTAAATTCTGAAGTATCTTGTTTTGGCATCTTTCTTTTCAAGTCAAATGGTCTTCAGCCTCCCCACTGGCCCCCCCCCCCCCC